ACTTCAGTCACTAAACCACATATTTAGGAAGAACAATGAACTTGGAAGCAGGACCACAAGCCACACACACAGATCGCTGCTGCTGATGATGATTAACTGCTTATTAATTTTCTTGGAGGTCTTGTGATGAAGTATAAGCATTTATGAATTTTTCTGAAGATTTACAACAAGATATAAGCATTTAAGAAATTAAGCTTGTCCTGGGAAACATGTGCCCAAACCCAGTTCCCCCATCATAATCGCCAACAAATGTCATGAAAAGAACTTATCCACAACTTGGTTAGGTCTCTACAGCTCGCGAACCATAGGGAGGCGATAATTTACTTTTTTTCCCTTTACAGTGAAAAAATCTGCTCCTGCATCTTGTGTAACAACTTTTAAAACATTGGCATCTAAAAAATAAGGTCCACATCTAAATTGACTGTAAATTAATACCTACCCATTCAAATCCTTTTCTTTAACTCTCTGCAACCGACAAGAAAATGGTAATAACTTACTGCCAATTTTTTAAGAAAAGTGTAACTCCCTTTAAAAGTGACATATCCTTTTCTCACACAAAACTTTAAGTAATGTTTTTAATCATATATAGATGGAGGACAAAAATATGCGAACACATGTGAAAAAGTATGACGTATTTCAAACTTGCAGAACATCTGCGCCACCTGCAACAGATGTCTGCCACCTAGTGAGCGTGAAGAGGAAGGTATCAGTCTCTCAACAGCAATTACCTGCATTGCATGCTTTGATCGAACTGTTTGTGAGAAATTGAGATGTCAGACCTGTCAGAGTTTCAAAGAAGAATGATAGTTGGAGCGCGTTTAAGTGGAGCATCGGCTACGGAAACAGCAAAGCTTGTGGGGTGTGCAAGGAGTATGGTATCAGCCGTTATGACAGCGTACATGAAAGAGAGTAAGATGACGTCTTCAAAGCACAACAGTGTCCGAAAGTCAAAGCTGGCTGATAGGGATAGATGGGTCTTGAAACGCATAGTAGCCCGAAAGCAAAAGCAATCTTTACCCGAGATAACATCCGAAATGAACAGTCATCTCCAGGACCCCGTTTCAACAAAAACTGTCAAAAGGGAACTTCATGCTGCGAACAGTTATGGCAGAGTGGCAATTCATAAACCCTTGGTAACAGTAACTAATGCTTTCAAGCGACGCCAATTGTGCAGAGATCACAAAGACTGGCCCCCACAGCTGAGGCAACAGGTAATATGGTCAGATGAATCACACTAGGAATTCACCTTATTTCAGACGACCGGATGTGTTTATGTGTGGAGAACGCCCAAAGAAGCATTTCATCCTGACTGCCTCTTGCGACTGTGAAGCATGGGAATGGCGCCATTACGGTGTTATGGGGTGCAATATCTTGGCGTAGTCTTGGGCCACTTGTTATTCTGTATAGGAGAATCACATCCAATCACTATCTAAGCATTCTAGGGGATCATGTCTATCCTTTTGTCCAAATTGTATTCCCTGGGAAGCGAGCGCTTTTTCAAAACGACAACGCTTCTATCCACACGGGTAGGTGTATTCAAGAATTGTTCGAAGAGCATGACGATGCAATTGAACATTTCGCTTGGCCCCTTCAGTCTACGGACTTGAATATTATTGAGCATTTATTGGCATATTTGGAGTCCAAACTTCATTCCCGATTTCCACCTCTATCCGGTCTTTCGGAATTAGAGACCGCTCTGCGGAAAGAATGGCTTAATATTCCTTTAAATGTTGTCCATGACCTTTGTGCATCTATCCCACGTCGCATTCAATCTGTACTTTAGTCAAAGGGTGGTCCAAACTTCTATTAATACAGATTTTCCATTATTTTCACAGGTGTTCGTATTATTTTGTCCTCCATCTGTATCCGTCAGAGCTGTGACAACGGCAGTGATAAACAAATCAAAAAGTTTTCTCTTTCAGATGAAGCTGAAATTTTGTAGCCTCCAATGAGAGAAACACGTGTATAGAAGGGGGGGCAGGAGCCGCAGCTGTCCGCTGACTTATAACCAAATGGGTTGCCTTGGAAAGAAAATCACCTGCTTTTAGCCATACAATTCTTTTCACAAACTTTGAAGGAACGCATTTAGTAGAAAATGCTGTTTAAATAATAATACATTAAGTACATTAAGAATTAGTTCACAAATATTAACATTTATAAATTCATTACACACCAAAAATTAATTCATAATTTCACTAAGCATTTTGAATTAATGCACAACAGAAGAATTCTTTTGCAAAACAGCATCAGTGACATCAAAATATGTAATTTTCAGATTTTGAAAGTATGATGGCATTTTAGTTTCAGCATCTTGAAGTACAGTCAAAAGTCATTAATCCGGACTCGTCGGGACTTCGGCGATTCCGGATTATCGATTTTTACGGATTATAGATCATCAGTTTAAATCTCGTAAGATGGCGTGCAGAAATTCTAAAATTAAAAATATGAAACCTTAATTTATGAAATAAAGAACAATTATGATCTAAAGGGTATCAAAATTTACAAAAAAAAAAAGCTTAATATTATTGTTTACTTTATTAAACATTTTCTTTAATGTAAGTTGTTTAAAGTTGCTTCGTTTTATGTGATAATACTTTTCTCTTTAATTCTATAACAGACATCATTTCTGTTCAGTTACAAAGTTCCGCTGTTCAAGTCCCGTTAATTGCTGTGCCGAGGAATACCGACTAACTTTAATTGAAATTTTTTGTTTTCACTAACCTCTCTGTCACATTCTTCATGTCTTTATCCATTTTTTGCAAGCAATTCCACTTTTTGTTGTTGGGACATCGAAACATACTTTCGTTTTGTAGATCCTTTGGAAGTTCCAGCATCGGAAATTCTATTTGACATAATCGAAAGTTCAAGTTTACTTTTATAAAATTGCTCTTACAGTCTGCAAAAAATAATAAGCGGGATCCAATTTGATGATTAAGGAACAACGCAATCATTAACATTAACTGAAATAGATAATTAGATAATTTTAGCTTACATTGTCCGTTATATATTAAACGCACAGGCGAAAACGTATTCTGCACTTGTGCACACGCATATGCGCAGTAGTCAAGGTATTACGCGCAAGCGTAAAACGCCTGTGCGCATGTGCCAATGCGGCGCATGCGCAGAAAGTTTTTAGCTTTGAGGTCGGTATTATAGATCATTCCGGATTATGGGTGTCCGAATTAACGACTTTTGACTGTATTAGGTTTTAAGAATATTCTTTTTGTAGAAAGAATTTGAGCAATATCTCAGCGTTATGTTTTACAAGAATTGGTGGTTTGGTGAGCAGTAAGTCATTTGAAAGCAGTTGAATCATTACGGCAGAGTGAATTCTTGGCATGTCTCAAAGAGAAATTCTGATATAATATTTTCTCCATAATTGGCCATCAAAACAAAATAAGAAATGTTATTTACTTGTAAAGATAACTTTCTGAGTGACAAAACGTAACATATTGGCATAAATTATATGAAATCACTTCATCAGTCTTCATATGATTTGTAATCATCTTGACATTTAGTTTGTATACTTTTAATTGTAAGATGCTATGGAATGAAGAGGAACTGGGAGAGTGAACATCATAATTAGGGCAGTACAGACTAGCATTAATTTCTGTTCATAGATGAGTTAAGTTTCTGTTTGGAACCAGGTGCTGATCATGTGCACAAAGATCACAAGATTGAGGTGGAGGAATGATGGTTTTAGTATGAATATGCATAGTTGGACATATGAAGCACTGTATGTCATATACAGTGTAGTGGCAGTAGACATGCAGTGGCAGTTTGATAGGTAGAAGGTATTGATGTCAGATCTTTGAACCTTTGCTCTTGATGCTGCTGAAACCATTAGTAATATGTTCCTTTTTAATGGATTATAATATTCAGTTCACAGAAATGGTATTGCTAAAAACTGGTGTTTGGAGCAGGAAATAAAACAGAGCAATACTAGGATATTTAGGGAGATGTGTTGTTGCTCAGCCGAGACCTTAGCTGACACTTTGAGAGTTAGAGACTATCACTATGAAGTAACAGAAAAAATTGTCTCAAAATCTATTGGATCACCTTGTAAATAGCAAGTAATGCAGATGTTCAGCAATTTTAGCATTTCAAGGAGACCATATGCTCTGTTAATATTGAAAAAAATCTTCAGAAAAACAAGTTTTTTACTTCCAAATGCTGAAACATTTGAAAACTCAATTGTTACATAAGACAATATGTATTTTTTTCTCTTAAATATATAAAATAAATTTGTAAGCTAAATTTTCTAGTGGCACACATTTGTAAAACTATAGCTGAATGTGATTTTGCATGTATGCATAATTTTAATTATCTCCATTTAATTTGTCCAACATGAGAATTTTAATTATACATGCTGCGCTGCAAGTCTTTGGCAGCATTGTGATAGCAACATACCTACTTTTTACCAAACTTAAGCGTACAACAAAGTTTATTCTCCTAACTAGAAATCTTTCAGCATGAGGCACCACTTTCTCATAAGTTTGCTCAAAAGCAACTATTCTTTTTCTGTTTTAGTTTCACCTTTTTTTTTTTTTTTTTTTTTTTTTTTTTTTTTTTTTTTTTTTTATAAGCAGTTCAGCATAAGACACTACATAGAAAATGAATGAAATGAAGCCAAGGAAATCATACAAATTGCAAAAAAGCAATAAGCACTGAATGATTTTCAGATATAAAAGAAGGAGAAATCAAAGACTGAATCAAAAATAATTATTATGAAAATAACAGATGAAGAAAGGAGAGGCCTCTTTATGAGAGGTATTAAAAAGCATTGCAGTTGTTATCACCAAATGTTTAATGAGTTGCATAAGACAAGCAAAAATCAACAGCTATTTCGAAAAAAAGATTGTATCAGATACCTACTTGTTAAACAATAATAGAAATCCTTTAAATTAACATTTGTTTCATTTTCCCTTTTAATTACAAGAATATTTATATTTGTATAAATTATAAATACATTTTTAAACTGAACTATATCTAACCCTTTTTTTCGACAGAAAGTTACTTTTGTGGAACACAATTTTGCCATACATGCATGTGTTAATGACATAGCACTCACTGTCATCAAGGGTTTACTCTACGTAAACACATTTGTTGCAGTTTTTATGAAAAAGGTGCATATCTTCTGAAAAGTGACTGATCCTTTAATTTCTTTTGAACAGAATATATTTGAAGAATGTAATATACAAAATTTAAAATAGATTATGAATTTTTATTTTTTATTGTCCTATATTTAAAAAATAAATTTTGTATATATTTCCTTTGTCTCTTCTAGCCCTAACTATGTTGCTATTGAGTGATTCTCCACTTTTTCAGTACTGATTTTTTTTTCCCTTTGTAATTCTATGAATTTTTTTAATGTTGTATGTTTTATCGTGGCAATAGTTATCTTTGTCTTTTCCCCTACCTGAAATGAAAAACAAGTGCATTTTTCATAAACAAATAAAAATATACTCTGTGCCTGAAGTAAACTGAAAACAGTAAAATAAGCAGCCAATAAATAAGCATGAGGCAAACAAATCTCTTTTTGAGAAATTTTCTAAAAGGCGTAGCATTATTATATATATATATATATAAAGAAAAACCCCTTCCTTTTTGTTATTCTTTAATGTAAACAAAGACATATGGAGAGCAAAATTTTTCCATTAATTTTTGATTATTTTATATGTGAATGTAAATGAGGGTTAAAAAGTATATGATTTTAGTAATATATTTCCCTCTTAATTCAAATAAAATATCTGGCTATCAGTATTGGGACACCCTCAAACATAGCGACACTCTGGCGCTATGGTACATTTTTAACAGCGTTATACCTTTCGTTTACCTTCACTCACATTTGGTACCAACTTACTGTGCAGTTATCACCAATAGATCAAGTATGCCTTAGGCCTTTCACG